ATGGAATTCGAAACAATAGCCTAACGCTGTGCCTTTGTCGTGCCGATCAATGTTGCATCAGAAACAGATTGGAAACAGTTAACTACACATCGTTGCTATTTTCACGTCTGTACTACACTGATACTACGTTGCTTAAGCAACATGTCGCGAGCTGCAGTCACGCAAAATTTAAATTATGCCGCCTAGAAAACGTTGTACCTTCAACCTTTTTCCGACTTTTAGCACACGGTTTCCTAGGCAGCATGGAATTCGAAACAATAGCCTACCGCTGTGCCTTTGTCGTGCCGATCAATGTTGCATCAGAAACAGATTGGAAACAGTTAACTACACATCACTGCTATTTTCACGTCTGTACTACACTGATACTACGTTGCTTAAGCAACATGTCGCGAGCTGATGTCACGCAACATTTAAATTATGCCGCCAAGAAAACGTTGTACCTTCAACCTTTTTCCGACTTTTAGCACACGGTTTCCTAGGCAGCATGGAATTCGAAACAATAGCCTAACGCTGTGCCTTTGTCGTGCCGATCAATGTTGCATCAGAAACAGATTGGAAACAGTTAACTACACATCGCTGCTATTTTCACGTCTGTACTACACTGATACTACGTTGCTTAAGCAACATGTCGCGAGCTGCAGTCACGCAACATTTAAATTATGCCGCCTAGAAAACGTTGTACCTATAACCTTTTTCCGACTTTTAGCACACGGTTTCCTAGGCAGCATGGAATTCGAAACAATAGCCTAACGCTGTGCCTTTGTCGTGCCGATCAATGTTGCATCAGAAACAGATTGGAAACAGTTAACTACACATCGTTGCTATTTTCACGTCTGTACTACACTGATACTACGTTGCTTAAGCAACATGTCGCGAGCTGCAGTCACGCAACATTTAAATTATGCCGCCTAGAAAACGTTGTACCTTGAACCTTTTTCCGACTTTTAGCACACGGTTTCCTAGGCAGCATGGAATTCGAAACAATAGCCTAACGCTGTGCCTTTGTCGTGCCGATCAATGTTGCATCAGAAACAGATTGGAAACAGTTAACTACACATCGTTGCTATTTTCACGTCTGTACTACACTGATACTACGTTGCTTAAGCAACATGTCGCGAGCTGCAGTCACGCAACATTTAAATTATGCCGCCTAGAAAACGTTGTACCTTCAACCTTTTTCCGACTTTTAGCACACGGTTTCCTAGGCAGCATGGAATTCGAAACAATAGCCTACCGCTGTGCCTTTGTCGTGCCGATCAATGTTGCATCAGAAACAGATTGGAAACAGTTAACTACACATCGCTGCTATTTTCACGTCTGTACTACACTGATACTACGTTGCTTAAGCAACATGTCGCGAGCTGATGTCACGCAACATTTAAATTATGCCGCCAAGAAAACGTTGTACCTTCAACCTTTTTCCGACTTTTAGCACACGGTTTCCTAGGCAGCATGGAATTCGAAACAATAGCCTAACGCTGTGCCTTTGTCGTGCCGATCAATGTTGCATCAGAAACAGATTGGAAACAGTTAACTACACATCGCTGCTATTTTCACGTCTGTACTACACTGATACTACGTTGCTTAAGCAACATGTCGCGAGCTGCAGTCACGCAACATTTAAATTATGCCGCCTAGAAAACGTTGTACCTATAACCTTTTTCCGACTTTTAGCACACGGTTTCCTAGGCAGCATGGAATTCGAAACAATAGCCTAACGCTGTGCCTTTGTCGTGCCGATCAATGTTGCATCAGAAACAGATTGGAAACAGTTAACTACACATCGTTGCTATTTTCACGTCTGTACTACACTGATACTACGTTGCTTAAGCAACATGTCGCGAGCTGCAGTCACGCAACATTTAAATTATGCCGCCTAGAAAACGTTGTACCTTCAACCTTTTTCCGACTTTTAGCACACGGTTTCCTAGGCAGCATGGAATTCGAAACAATAGCCTAACGCTGTGCCTTCGTCGTGCCGATCAATGTTGCATCAGAAACAGATTGGAAACAGTTAGCTACACAACGTTGCGATTTTCACGTCTGTACTACACTGATACTACGTTGCTTAAGCAACATGTCGCGCGCTGCAGTCACGCAACATTTAAATTATGCCGCCTAGAAAACGTTGTACCTTCAACCTTTTTCCGACTTTTAGCACACGGTTTCCTAGGCAGCATGGAATTCGAAACAATACCCTAACGCTGTGCCTTTGTCGTGCCGATCAATGTTGCATCAGAAACAGATTGGAAACAGTTAGCTACACAACGTTGCGATTTTCACGTCTGTACTACACTGATACTACGTTGCTTAAGCAACATGTCGCGCGCTGCACTCACGCAACATTTAAATTATGCCGCCTAGAAAACGTTGTACCTTCAACCTTTTTCCGACTTTTAGCACACGGTTTCCTAGGCAGCATGGAATTCGAAACAATAGCCTAACGCTGTGCCTTTGTCGTGCCGATCAATGTTGCATCCGAAACAGATAGGAAACAGTTAACTACACATCGTTGCTATTTTCACGTCTGTACTACACTGATACTACGTTGCTTAAGCAACATGTCGCGAGCTGCAGTCACGCAACATTTAAATTATGCCGCCTAGAAAACGTTGTACCTATAACCTTTTTCCGACTTTTAGCACACGGTTTCCTAGGCAGCATGGAATTCGAAACAATAGCCTAACGCTGTGCCTTTGTCGTGCCGATCAATGTTGCATCAGAAACAGATAGGAAACAGTTAACTACACATCGTTGCTATTTTCACGTCTGTACTACACTGATACTACGTTGCTTAAGCAACATGTCGCGAGCTGCAGTCACGCAACATTTAAATTATGCCGCCTAGAAAACGTTGTACCTTCAACCTTTTTCCGACTTTTAGCACACGGTTTCCTAGGCAGCATGGAATTCGAAACAATAGCCTAACGCTGTGCCTTTGTCGTGCCGATCAATGTTGCATCAGAAACAGATTGGAAACAGTTAACTACACATCGTTGCTATTTTCACGTCTGAACTACACTGATACTACGTTGCTTAAGCAACATGTCGCGAGCTGCAGTCACGCAACATTTAAATTATGCCGCCTAGAAAACGTTGTACCTTCAACCTTTTTCCGACTTTTAGCACACGGTTTCCTAGGCAGCATGGAATTCGAAACAATAGCCTAACGCTGTGCCTTCGTCGTGCCGATCAATGTTGCATCAGAAACAGATTGGAAACAGTTAGCTACACAACGTTGCGATTTTCACGTCTGTACTACACTGATACTACGTTGCTTAAGCAACATGTCGCGCGCTGCACTCACGCAACATTTAAATTATGCCGCCTAGAAAACGTTGTACCTTCAACCTTTTTCCGACTTTTAGCACACGGTTTCCTAGGCAGCATGGAATTCGAAACAATAGCCTAACGCTGTGCCTTCGTCGTGCCGATCAATGTTGCATCCGAAACAGATTGGAAACAGTTAACTACACATCGTTGCTATTTTCACGTCTGTACTACACTGATATTACGTTGCTTAAGCAACATGTCGCGAGCTGCAGTCGCGCAACATTTCAATTATGCCGCCTAGAAAACGTTGTACCTTCAACCTTTTTTCGACTTTTAGCACACGGTTTCCTAGGCAGCATGGAATTCGAAACAATAGCCTAACGCTGTGCCTTCGTCGTGCCGATCAATGTTGCATCAGAAACAGATTGGAAACAGTTAGCTACACAACGTTGCGATTTTCACGTCTGTACTACACTGATACTACGTTGCTTAAGCAACATGTCGCGCGCTGCAGTCACGCAACATTTAAATTATGCCGCCTAGAAAACGTTGTACCTTCAACCTTTTTCCGACTTTTAGCACACGGTTTCCTAGGCAGCATGGAATTCGAAACAATACCCTAACGCTGTGCCTTTGTCGTGCCGATCAATGTTGCATCAGAAACAGATTGGAAACAGTTAGCTACACAACGTTGCGATTTTCACGTCTGTACTACACTGATACTACGTTGCTTAAGCAACATGTCGCGCGCTGCACTCACGCAACATTTAAATTATGCCGCCTAGAAAACGTTGTACCTTCAACCTTTTTCCGACTTTTAGCACACGGTTTCCTAGGCAGCATGGAATTCGAAACAATAGCCTAACGCTGTGCCTTTGTCGTGCCGATCAATGTTGCATCAGAAACAGATTGGAAACAGTTAACTACACATCGTTGCTATTTTCACGTCTGTACTACACTGATACTACGTTGCTTAAGCAACATGTCGCGCGCTGCAGTCACGCAACATTTAAATTATGCCACCTAGAAAACGTTGTACCTTCAACCTTTTTCCGACTTTTAGCACACGGTTTCCTAGGCAGCATGGAATTCGAAACAATAGCCTAACGCTGTGCCTTCGTCGTGCCGATCAGTGTTGCATCAGAAACAGATTGGAAACAGTTAGCTACACAACGTTGCGATTTTCACGTCTGTACTACACTGATACTACGTTGCTTAAGCAACATGTCGCGCGCTGCACTCACGCAACATTTAAATTATGCCGCCTAGAAAACGTTGTACCTTCAACCTTTTTCCGACTTTTAGCACACGGTTTCCTAGGCAGCATGGAATTCGAAACAATAGCCTAACGCTGTGCCTTCGTCGTGCCGATCAATGTTGCATCAGAAACAGATTGGAAACAGTTAGCTACACAACGTTGCTATTTTCACGTCTGTACTACACTGATACTACGTTGCTTAAGCAACATGTCGCGCGCTGCACTCACGCAACATTTAAATTATGCCGCCTAGAAAACGTTGTACCTTCAACCTTTTTCCGACTTCTAGCACACGGTTTCCTAGGCAGCATGGAATTCGAAACAATAGCCTAACGCTGTGCCTTCGTCGTGCCGATCAATGTTGCATCAGAAACAGATTGGAAACAGTTAGCTACACAACGTTGCGATTTTCACGTCTGTACTACACTGATACTACGTTGCTTAAGCAACATGTCGCGCGCTCCCAGGTAGCACAAAACATTATAATAACATTATTTTTTTGTTGTGTAAGTTGAAATAACGTTTTGTGTTAGGTGTAAATGTTACGGCAACGTTCAAATAAAACACTCAACGTTTTAGGTATGTTATCAATGTTGGTGTAACATTCAAATTAAACATATAACGATAATGTTGTGTACGACACATTATAACAACATTCAATACATAACTGTAAAGCAATGTTGTGAGCACTAACATTAATGTAACATTTAGTAACATTATGCTCCTAACATTATTCTGAAGTTTACAATGAAACATAGTAACAGTGAATGGAGAACCATGAAATAATGTTGCAAGAAGTAACACTGAAATAACATTTTAACATATATTTCCAATGTCATTTTGAAGCTTACAAGGAAACATAACATTCAATGCAAAATAGTAAATAAATGTTAAATAGTAATACTGAAATAATGTATTGGTTTGATCACATATCTGTTTTTCAAACTTCAAATAATTGTTGCAAATACTTATATTCAAGAAATTGTTTGACAATATTGTTTTTAACATTATTTTGAAGTTCACAATGAAACACAACATGCAGTAACAAGTTATTTATTGGTGTAACATTTTGAAAAGAGTAACATTTTTGCAAATGTTGTAAGAAAATGTAGTACACTATTTTAGTTTCCGATTTTATTGAAATGTAGCGTGAAGGTACAAAAAAATGGCAAGCGAAATGAAAATATATGCTATGATACTTTTTTGCATTTCTTGTCTTTTGCCCTATAAGGATGGAAGCATTTTGATTAAGCTTTTCTGTAGCAGCTGCTAACTCCAAACAATGGAAAATCTTGGATACCTATATGTAGAGCCCTGCATATCCGCGGATTACCTGTGGATATCTGCAGTAAACGGGCGGATGCGGATGAAAATTAAACAAATTTTGGCAGATTGCAGATTGGATGGCAGAGGCTGCGAATATCAGCGGATACGGATTTAAATTTTTGCCCAGCGGCATTCAGTTCGTCGACTGACGTCTCATCTACAAATCGTTTCGTCGAGATGAAACGTTTGATCGAAAGGCTTCTCCTGTTCGTTTCATCGAAAAACCTGAGATGTTTTGTTGCACACAACCTTGCTATTTTTGTAACAAACTTGTTGAGTCTCGCCTGGATTACAGGGGAGAGGGGGGCATGGTTTGGTTAAGCTCGCTAGCTTTTAGCAGCTTGGTGAAGAAATGCGTTGTCGACAAAACATTGCAGCGGCATGTGCCCACAAAACGTACAGCGTCGATGAACCGTTTGTCCATGAAAAGTTGTCCACCGATACATATTTCCACAAAAACGCGTTTCGAAGAAACAATAGGGATCCTAAGAAAGATCTGATTCTCACTGAAGATCGCTTCAGTTAGTGTGTTTCCTCTCGTCAAAAATGCTACCTTTAAAAAAAGTAAAGATTGCAGGGCATCAATTGTCCCAAGAAAGCTAGCACATTGGCAGGGAAAGAGCTGTAACTTTTTCTGGGCAAAGAAAACTTCAAACGTACAAGTCACAAGGAAGTAAAGAAACGTCCCCCTCTTCGCAAAGAGTAGTGTGGTCATGATTAAAAACAAAAAGTGCCTCGACAGCGAGTGCGACCCTGTGGCACCACGGTTTGTAAAGTTTCAGAGTCAACAGCGAACTTGCATAGGCAGACGGTAAACTGCCTCTGTGTTTCTTTTTTGTATGCTTAGAGCCCTAGCCAAAACGCCTGGTAGTTCATGTTCGTCCAATTACGACGCCAGTGCGTCGTAGCCGGACTAATATGAACCTCTATTACTTTTTAATTGTTTAACAGAACTGTAATGTCATATTTAGTATGCCCTTTTTTAACTTTTATCCTTCAAAAGTATGCGTCCGCATAAAATAGGTGTTACAAAGCAAAAAAAAAAAAAAAACATATATAACCTTTTTGTGCGCTCCTTCTGGGCAGAGTGTCGCGGATTCCTAGGATGATCACATAACTGAGATGATTTTTCCTAATCGCTTTTAATATAAATCCGATGAAACTGATAATGATAAAATGACACTTCCTTTGAATGGCGAGCCAGATTTCTTTGGTACAAAGATAAGCAAACAGCTTAAAAAGTGTCATTTCTATTTTACAATGAATGCCTGGATTGTGAGTCGGATCTGGTTCCACATTTTGCGGATGCGGTTCGGATACGGATACAATAATGTAAAAAGTATGCGGATACAGTTTGGATACAAAGTATGCAGATGCAGATCGGATACGGATACAATAATGTAAAAAGTTTGCGGATACGGTTCGAATACAAAGTCTGCAGATAATTAAACTGTTATCCACGCAGGGCTCTACCTATATGTAAGATCTAAATGAAATGCAGCGTAAAGATACAAAAAAATGGCAAGGAAAATTAAAATATGTGCTATGCTACTTTTTTGAAAGAAAGACAGCCACAAATAGTATGTGCTTGTTTCACTTGTTTTATGTTTCACATTAATAGATTCACTTCCCTTTACCAGGAAGGCCTGAGGGAAGAGGAGGTGATTATATAGACTACGGAGCTTGTGGATAAGTGAAGTGATGATGTGTATCACGAAAGCGCTTTCATCCCTTCTTCATAAACAGTCAGTCTCTCCGCTTGCCAGCTTGATCCTGCTAACGTTTCCCTTGCCCTCTTGAAGTGACCTGCATCACCCTACGATTTACTCCAGAGGTGCCCGAAGGTGGTGGATTAATTACTGAAGTATAGAAACATGTGCCTCTTTAAATAAAAGATTTTTTTTCCTATGAAAATTTTTTTGTCATGCTTTGTTTTTCTAAATGATCAAAAATGAATCTGGGCATTTCTGGTGTTTATTACGACTAAATAAAGAGTGGGATGGGAAGGGAATGAAATTGGCAAACATAATACTTGTTTCATTTGGCCAGAATGAATGTCTGTCCCAAAATAATTAGTTTTTTTTCTTTTCCCTTATTTGAATTAGATAGAAGTATGATATATTTACTGCACTATGTAGGGAATGTACACATGTGTGCTGGTACTGTGGGGAGGCTGGCATCCATGCAACTATGTGTTTGAGGTTCCTTCGCCGTTCACATGTGAACTGAGACAGTACAATCAGGGCAACTCCTGCCCCTCTCGATGAGATCCTGTCTTTCCGGAAGATGCTAAACTTTTGGGTGTCAGCAATTTGTCCTTCGAATATTGTATCATCCAACCAGGTTTCTGAGACCCCAAAGATTGTGTTCGGCGAAGTTTCAAACAAGACAACGAGGTCCGAGTTTGTTCTTGATGGATAGAGCGTTTGTATACCGGATGCCGATGTGTCGCCGCTTCCTCGGTGCGGGAGGAGTACGTCGGTTACTAGCGTCACTCCGTTTTGTGTCCCGGGCGATGGGCCTGGCAGTTTCGTGGGGGGAAGGGGGGGGGGGGGGGGGGGGGGGGGGGGGGGCACGACACCGGTGGATATGGGTGCGGGGTGCGAGTCATCGGAGGGAGGAAGCTGGCATGAGCCACAAAACCAGTGCCCGGCGAGGAGGCCAAGCATCGGTAGGCGAGTAGCGACAGCCCTTCACACTTCCCATGGAGCCACCAATCACACAGGTCACATTTTAGGGCGGCCACGTTGTTGTAAACCGCTTTCTCGCAGCTCGGGGAGGTTGGCGACGGCCTGGGATTTCGATAGATGTTCCCGGCAATCAGCATGAGTCATGCAATCGGCGCAGTCGTCCAGGCAGGCCTAACCGCGATGAAGCGGATGTCCGCACTTTCAGAAGTGAGAGAAGCCGCCGCGCGGAGTTGAGAAGCATTGTGCACCTCATCGGAGTGTTCCCGGAGCTCGACTCTCTGTAGAGAGGCGACCAGCAGAAGTTGCAACCATGTCCGCAAGCACGTCATCCCTGAAGACTATAATTTTGCTGAAAGGTTCCACCACCGTATTACACATATGTGCGAAATCCCGTCAAATATGCTGAGAAACTGTTTGATGCGGTCTCTCTAAAGAGCCAACGAAACGTTGTAAATCTCTTAGTACAAACACAAAACACGGCAGAGACGAAAAGGGTACCTTTGAACTTGAAGCAAGCCCATGGTCAACACACGCACTGCACCGCACAAAAAGACCATCCGTGTGCGCTACTTTTAGAGCGTTAACAAGCAAAGCAAGGCGTAAATGAGTAAGAATCGTTCCGTAGAACCCGTAGAACCAGATCACAACAGCCGCCATCACAACCCTAAATATACAAACACAGTGCTGCTAGACTTCTTTTCTTTGGTTTTGTGAGTTTGTCGGGTGTGTAAATAAGTAAAGTCTGATGAGTAAATTTATTAATACTATACACTACAGATATTTTCTTCTTGATGTGTTCTACTTTTAAGTCACAAAATAAAATATAATATAATTTATTAACTACAAAATGCATACACGGTTGGTTTAGCCTATTTTAGACCAATGGCTTAGGTTGGCAACATACGTTCCCGCCGGTTCAAGTGGTTCAAGTATGGTTTAAGTTTGGTTTAAGCGGTCTAAGTTTAAGTTTGTATCGCGGCTCGCACAATTGTGGCTCGCACGGTTCTGACCTGACAACCGTGGCTCTGAAACATCGTGAAGACAAGTTCTAGTAGTTACGGTTCGAAGTGCCTAACGGTCAGGCTGCGTAATCCCACTGTGGCACCGACGCACCTGCGTACCCTGCGTGAAACGTAAGTAGCGGTACCTCATTTCCTTTAGTGATGCTGCTCACTTGCTTAACCGACGGGATCTCGCATATTACGTTTGTGGGTATTCCTGTCTCGGGTACCCGAAATCGGGACGGCTCCTTTGGAGCCTTTGGATCCTTTGGAGGTCGATATCTGACCTCAACAATTCCGTCTAGGACCGGAATTCGGTGCCGGTCCTAGACGGAATTCAAGGCGGTGCGTTGTAAGTGGCAGAGCTTCGCTTTAGGGTGCCCATTATTACCTAAACCTCGCACATGCTCGTGAATGTGCGAGGCTGGTTAGGTAATAATAGACAAGAGTAATTATTTGAGGGCTCTACAGTGATTATTATTTTGAAGAGCGAAGCGCTGCCACTATGACCCGGACGAAATCCGGACAAAATTTTCTAGCGCAACCAATGACTATGATAAGTGGGCAACCATGTTCGCCGATTGCGCGCGATTTCGGTTACGCCAGACTGCGCGACTCGCGATGCATGATATCCCTTTGTGATTGAACGGTGCTAAGAGGAAACGATCTCCTGGTTCGTAAAATGAAGCGACAGAGGCGAGCATTTGATGACGTGTGCGACCGACAGAAGAAAAGAATTATTGCCGAAAACGTGCGCGACCATCTTGCGGACATTTTTTCTAAGTCTGCTCCGGACGAGAGCGATGGAAATTCTGCGGTTGACGGATCAGACGACAGCAGTGACGGAGCCAGGGAGGGTCTGAGCGCACCGCAAGTCGACGATCCCAGAGATCCTTGCGCGAGCACATCAGCTTCCGAAGAAACTGAAACTCATTTGCCAATCTCAAGTGCAGATGAGTTTACTTTGGCAAGCGAGCTGGCCACCTGGGCACGTGAGACCAAAGCCTGCGCATCCCATCTTAGCAAGCTTTTAAAGATATTGAAGAAGTATCACCCGGAGCTGCCTAGTGACGCAAGAAGCCTAATGGGGACACCAAGATCTTGCAATGTGAAAAACATGGGAGCGTCCGGCCTCTACCACTATTTCGGAATCGAATCGTCACTAAAACGAATGATGAGCTCAGGCAGCATCACTGGAGACACCATTTCGTTGCTCATCAATGTTGATGGCCTGCCTATAGCGAAAAGTTCCAGCAAGCAGTTCTGGCCCATTCTTGCATCTGTCGTCGAAAGCTGCGATCCTGAACCTTTCGTCATAGCTCTGTTTGTTGGAGACAAGAAGCCGGAGAACTTGGATGACTACCTTACCGATTTCATTTCGGAGTTAAGCACATTGCTGGAAGAACACGTGACCGAGGGCGGAAAGGAGTGCGTAGTTCGAGTGCATGCGTTCATTTGCGATGCGCCCGCAAGGGCATTTCTGAAGTGCATCAAGGGCCATGGGGGATACTTCAGTTGTGAAAAGTGCACCCAAGAAGGCACCTTCTCTGAAAGCTGCCGGAAAGTAATTCTTCCAGAAGTCAGCAGCCCCCTACGAACAGACGAGTCGTTTCGAAAGCAGGATCAGGAAGGGCACCATCATCGACAGTCCCCATTGGTCGAGCTACAGATTGGCATGGTAAGCCAATTTCCCCTCGACTATATGCATTTAGTCTGCCTAGGCGTTATGCGGAGGCTTCTACTTCACTATTGGGTGCGGGGACGACCTCATCGATCAAAGCTCCCACCACGTGCACAGACTAGCATCTCAACAATGCTCATGAAACTCCAGAGACACACCCCTCGGGAGATGGCTCGGAAGCCCCGGAGTCTTCATGAATTAGAGAGATGGAAGGCCACTGAGCTACGAAACTTCCTCTTGTACTTCGGTCCTGCGGTTCTAAAAGACCACATGGAGAAGCGCTACTACCAGCACTTTCTCAAACTGAGCATTGCAGTGTCAATCCTGTCAAGCCCACGACTCTGCCATGAGGAGATTGATTCTGCAGAGAAGCTGCTTGAAGAGTTTGTTTCTGATGCTGGGGACCTGTACGGTGAAGGCATTTACGTGTACAACATACATTCTCTGCTGCATCTTACTGCTGATGTGCGGAGGTTCGGTCACCTTGACTCCTTCTCTGCGTTCCGGTTTGAGAACTTTCTGGGTCAACTGAAGCGAGATTTGAAGTCACCAAATCGACCATTACAACAGATTGTAAAACGCTTAGAAGAGCGCAGTCATGCTGACTTGCATCCTAGAATACCACCGAAGCAGCAGGCCTTGTTGCAAAAGCCGCATAATGCCGGACCAGCACCTCCAGGATTTAAGGGAGAGCAGTATCACAAGCTAGTTCTTCAAGGCATGGTTCTGGAAGTGAACCTACCAGACTCATGTTTTCTGATGGAAGATGGAAATGTAGTCGTCGCAACAAATGTTGTGTCCCGTGATGGAGAGATCAAGATCTGTGGCCAGTTTTTCAAGAGATTAACAAACTTCTATGCCGGCATTGTTGACACAACTGGACTGTGTACTTTCAGGGCTTCTCAGGTTTCGTCTGCAAATGCTTTGTGGACTGTTGAACAGGTCAAATCAAAGTGCTGCTGGCTTCCTTGTGGGGGTGAATTTTTGGTTAAGCCACTCTTGCACACAGGATAGCTCAGATAAGCAATATCTGCCGTAAATGTGCTCTCACTTATAGTGTTGTTTTAATGAGTATATAATCATCACGAATAAAAATAAAGTGTGTGTGCTAATGTCTTTGGCATAAATTATGTCTTTATGCTAATAACTGCTAGGGGATTTTTAAGGACATTTCTTCTGATTATAAGGCATCTGTAGGTTGAAAATTGAGGGATTAGAAAAAAGCTGCTATAAATAGAACTGTTTATATGATGGAAAGACCAAAATAGAAAAGCTGTAAGGTGAATGTCTAATAAAAGGTTAGTTTTCTTTTGCTCATGATGTGTGCTCACTACTTTAGCTCTTTAAATGAATGATAATGTGATTATCCTTTGACTTGGTGATTACACGTAACTATTGTCCCAACTGATAGATATCCCAGCTAAGATGCCGCAAGTATAAAAAGACTGAACACTCTACGCCAGAGGTACACAACCTTTTCGGGACTGCGAACCCCCAAAGCTTCTGAGTGCCCTCCGGCGACCCCCGCCTTAACTATTTTTGGAGCTCTCCGAGGCTCTGTAGCCGCCAGACATTTCCCCACAACCTCCAGTCTGTGCACCTCTGCTCTACACAAGTGAAAACCACTATGTTGTTAGCAGGTGTCTTGCGAAACGCAAGAAAGACTTGGCAAACTTTTAAATATCAATTTTAAGACCAGCAGGATCAAGGTGTCAACTGGCAGGCTTTAGAAGTCTTGAGAAACAGCCAACTGGGGTGTTTTGAACACAATACACTTTGTTTGCTTCCTTTTCTAGCAAAGAAAGAAAGCCCATGAAATATAGGGTGGTTCAAGCCACCAGGCTCGATCTGAAATGGACCGTAAAAATCAATGCCTGCACGTAACAATCTAAACTTTTCGTCAGCGGTGTATTTCACAGGTCGGTTTTTTCTTGTAAAATTATAAAGCGTAGTTCTCGTTCTGTAAAAAATAAGGCCAAGAAACTTGCCAGGGTCTACGGCGGGCAGCGACGTAAACGAGAGGGGTTCATTAGCGGGATGTGTTTGGCATTCGTATCGATAGATGGCGTCGGGAGCAGCCTCCGAAGTTGCAGCCGACCAGTGAAAGAAAGCAGACGACACGCAGACGAAATCCGTTGACAGCAAAAGCGCCACCGTTATACAGACACGTTTTTTTTACTCTAAGTTTTGCTTTTATTGTCCGCATTTATTTTTTAACCGAAGGTACATTTCAAAAAGATTATGCCCATTTTAACAAACCACGGTGGTCACGAGCCGTTGCGATAAGGAGGGAGCGCCATCTATCAATACAAATGCCAAACACATCATGAGTTTTCTTTTGTTTTAGTTTTAGTAATTTTCACCTTCATAAACCATGTACACAGCATTCATATTTTATTTGGTTTCATCAATATTCGATTCATGTTTGATTTGGTTACATCACTATTTGCACACCCCTAATCTTGTTACTTCATAAAACTTGTAGGTATGCTCTTTACTGACGGTCTCAAATTGAATTTTCTAGATGTTCTCGGTCGCCCATTTTATGAAGACTGATGACGTGGCCGTGGTTCCAACACGCTGGATTAAGAACGGGACAGCTCCCTGGCCACCGTTTAAAAATACTGCAAAAGTGAACAGTGCAGTGAGGGACAGAACGGAGCCAGGCAAAGACTGGCCAAAATTTGCCTGCAGGGTCATGTCATATACAGGTAAGCTCCGCCCTGAACGCCATTAGTTTTTTTTTTCATTCTGAAGAGAGCACTGCTCTATTGAAAGTTATTACAATCCACACTTTCGCAGAATCTACAAAAGAGAAGGGGGTTTGGTTGTGAAATAATTCTTAAAGTACATATCATATCTGACTCCCTTTTTTTAGTTACTATGGTAACGGTACTATAGACCTCCCACTGCCTATGTTAATAGGACACATTGGTAACAGCTTGATAGCTACAAAAAGGCAGCATATGCTTCATTAGCAGAAGCTACGTACAGCTTAGACAAAACTCAGCAAAATATAATGCCTCACATTCAACGCACATTTTTTATTAATTCATTATCTACATAACATCTGACTTGCAGACAGTTACGAAGTTGCCCGCAAGAGGTCCATAAAGGCGGAGGAAGAGTCCGACCTTACATCGGAAGCAGAGACATCGCAAAAAAGAATACGGCGACCTCCGACATTTTTCGATGACTACCTCACTGACAGCAGCGATGAGGAGGGAGTAACTGAAGAACCACCTCCAGAAGGTGACATTGAATTTCTCGCTGAGCCCCCACCGCCACCACCTCTTCAAAGAAAAAGTGGAGCACATTGTGGAGGAGCAGGCCAAACTGATGGTGGCAAGTCCTTTTTTCTTACACGTGTTTTGAAGGAAATGGTTTACATGAACAAATACTAGTGATAAAGTGAAATGCACAAGGTAATCAAAACAAAACTACAGATCATGTATTTCACACTTCGAATGTTTGTAATCTAGAGTTGAGAAAAGGCCTTCCTAGACCCACGTGCAGGCTGTTATGTACACAGTGCGACACTTTTAGCATGAACATGACATCGGCGCTTTTTTGTGCTTTGCTCAAGCTGTGAAACCCTTATGGGCCCTTTTCACCGCATTAGTAATTTTGGTGATATCACCTGATTTGTGTAAGTAAAGCGAGTAAACCCGACGATGTTGTGTTTGTGCTAACAGCGTCGCATAGTGTACAGTATGGGCATGGTATAGATCAGGGGTGGGCAAACCGCGGCTCGCGAGCCGCATGCGGCTCTTTGCTGGTCCAAGTGCGGCTCGCGGATCCCTCGTAAGAGGACTCCCCCCCCCCCTTCGCCCCTTTCCGCGTTTCCCCAAGAAAAAAAAGAAGAAAGGATTCCAGAATAAAGCACACTGCAGCTTGCAGTTTGACAGCCTTGTACTCCCATCCAAGGAAATACGCAACTGTGACATAGCAGTTCAACTGCTCATCCTTGTTATTACTTATGCATTGCTTGTGGTTTTTCAGATGACTTGGTGTTGCCCAAAGGAAGACCAAAAAGTGCATCTTCTTTGAACTGCTCTGCTGAACCTTCAAGCAAAGGCAAGTATATTTTGTGACTGACAGAAGAGTTAGGATGTATGTGCACTTTTGACACATGAACCTGTAAAAAGTAACTTCACTTAGTTACAAGTTTCTGGAAAATGTACCTAAAATACAGCAGGGGTGGAATAGCTGTACCATTTGCGCCAGACGCATATGTCTGCGCCATCCTGAAACATGTTGTGGAAACTGCGCCACAGCCAATACCTCGTGCCATTATGCACCAAAAGAATTGTATTTTGTCTTGGTTCCGGTTTTTATCGACCCGATTCGCAACAATGAGCGCATTTAGCTTGGTCGGCCTTGCACTCCTTTGCTCTGTTTATTCTCCCTGTGTATCTCGAGTCAGAAGCGCACGAAAAAAATTGGGGGTCAGACTCCAAGCGCTACACCACCTGCTTCTGGATTGTTATCCTTCAACCATAAGCGGTTAAAGGGCAACTCCGCTCAATTCCGAAGATTTCGGGATAATGAGTGATTTCGAATTAAAAAGCCCTAGTAAAACACACTACGTTGTTTGCTTTGCGAAAAGTGGGCTATATATTTTTAAATCTAATTTTAAACACGAGCTGAAATCGAAACCGAAACTTCGGCTCTGCCCGGCAACATTGGCCTCGGGCCGCCAAGTACATGGCCATCACGTGGTACGAGATGTCACGTGATCCTCGGCCCAACGACGGGCGGGATTGGGGCGGGCGTGTGGCAGGCGCGAGTGTCGTCTGCACCGCACTCTTCGCCACGTTTTGGTGTCTACGGCATTCGACGACGTCTGCACAACTGCGGCATAAGTCTGCGCACATGGTGTCCGTGGTGTGGATGAAACTCCGAGAGACAATAATCACAATCGGTGAGACGACGACGGCGGTTGTGACGCGGAAGACGGCGGTAACGGCGGGCGGCCGGACGGCTCCCAAGAAACGCGCTGCGCGGGCGCGTTACACCAATCATGTGGACACCGCTGAGCGCCGAGAGGCAACGTTGCTGACGTCATGCGCTACGCTCGCGCGGAGAAGTGAAAACAAGCAAAAGGGGGCCATGATAATGACGTTTAGCTCAATGTTGGCTCCGCCCATGCCATAGCCTTGACTGCGCTGTTGGTTGCGCCTGATCGCCCGCTCAAGTCAGCCGATTTCGACAACTTGGCGAGTTGCGAAGTTTGCCGGACCGTTTAAGAAACATTTAGACAGAACTGCGTCGTAACATTTCACTCGTGGTCTTCCTAGGCGATACTGAAGAGGACTGCATTGTTTTTTCAAAACCAAAAATGAAGCGGAGTTGCCCTTTAAGCACGTCAGCAGAAGTGAGGTCGAGTCGTTAAGAGTCAGATTGCCTGAGGCTCTGCGGTCCGGGATCCAGACTTCAGCCAGTTGAAGACAGGAGCAAAAGATTCCTGTTAGTACTTCATCGTTAAAAGTTGGAACCGCATTCCCACAAGATAAATCGTGATTTGATAGAACTGAAATGCGGTCCAATCCGAAACCTTGCCGGCCAGCAGCTCTCATGCAAGCGGTAGATCTGCTTGGCATACTTTAACCTTGCTCCTGCTTATCGCCTCGAATATGATAACTACGCTTAATCATAGTCTGCTGCTTCGTTATTGAGTTACACAATAGGATAAATTCGAAATTTATTGCCCTGTTCCTTCGCGCAACTGCACGTTCGTTGCTTGCGCACGTCACGTGATTCGCGCATGTAATTACTAAGACATAAACTGAAGTGCAGTGAAAACTTATCTGAGCTGCTCCTAGCCTGCTCCAGAATGTAGGTTCAGCTGCTCCCGTGGCTCCTCCCAAGTACATTTCATGAGTTCCAACCCTGTACAGATACAGATACCGAAAAATGAAAGTACCTAGGTTTTTATGTCAGGTACAACAAAGGTACCTAGATACCGATTTCGAGTTACTTGTACCTAGGTGCTTTACAACCCTGGCTGAGGCATGTCCTGTTTAAAAAAAAAAAAACTTTAGCCTTGTTGCTTTGCAGCATTGATGCATGCTGCACGTTGTAAGAATGGATAATTTGTTTGTGTAATTAAGCTAAGTGCTTCGGTAACGTGAGCAACAAGAGAAAAGTTTCTGTATCTTTAATGCTCTTACAGCTTTAAGCGATTAAAGTATTAACTCCTTGTCACCTTGAAAATGAATAAAGGCTTGTTTTTTTATCATCTTTATCGGAACACTCAATATTGATAAGGTTCTAACGTATTGCTCTTTTTTTTTTTTTTTTTTAGCTTTGGTCACAGTTCTTAGGGAACTTGAGTGTATTAAGGCACAGTTGACAAGCATGGCTACAATGTTGGCCAGAATACAGATGCATGTGAATGCTGATGACCCTACTGCCATGGCTGGTCCAGTCCATCCAGAAGACCTTCCAGTCTATCCAGTGAAGACAAGAGAGGAATTTGCCTTCCTGGAGGCTAGCTTAAAAAATGAAGCCATTTTTGCAAAGCTAGTAAGTTTCAAGTTGTTGTGCGTTACAGCCAAAGGTTATTATCCAGAACATACATGTACTGAAATAGTCATTGTTTTTCATCTTTCTTCTGTTCTTTGAGCAAGAGAAGCTTTTATGTGTGGCTTATTGTGGATAACTTTTGATTTCTAGGTGAAAGAGCTTGGCCAAATTGGAGGTAGAGATGTAGCCTCTACAACAAAAACGGTGTTTAAGAAACTTGTCGGAGATGAAGTTGCCGTCTTCTACAACAGAACCGGGCGAAACGGAAAGCAAGAAGCCGGGAAACTGAAGATCTTTAGCCTGATCTATGGTAAGAGTAATGTTTTTGTATCACTGTCTACACTATGGAGAGTAATGTGCTTGCATGCACCCGTCTTTTTTTTTTTTTTATTATTAAGTATTACTTTACAGTGATCGTTATAAAACTTCTGATAGCTGTGCATATTTTTTTCAGCTGCTGTACGTGTAACCCGCAAAACTGCAACAGACGACGAGATGGGCCGCGCCATTGGTGATTGGCTGCGCTTCGCCAACGTCCGGCTCCGTGCTCAAGGCAAGCAACAACCTAATCTTTGCAGGAAGGATACAAATACATTGAAGCTGATGATTAATCTAAAAATCTCCTGAGGCTTACAAAATGAAGAATGTAAACCATGCATGAGATCTGTAACACAGCGAAGAGTTCTATTGTACTATCGCTATACATTGAAATACAAAGAAGAGAGCTTGTGGCTTTCTACAAATGCTGCACAAACTGGCCACGAGCCAGCGAAGCTTGCACATGTGTAGTTCGACCAAGGACACTAGATTAATCTCCAACTCTTGAATGCCTTGACTGGTGCCTGGTGTGTAAGCAGTGTACTGAAAGTTATGCGCTTTGTGTTCATATTGCAATGTATTGCAATAGTACATGCTCACTTGTATCATTGCCCCTCCCAATCAAATGCACCAGCAGAAGCAGTGAGCACAACTACAAAATAACGAAGGAAGCTTTGTTTACAATAATTTCTTATTGGAAAAAAGTAAAAATTGGTTTTCTAACATACAGAATGTAGCAGCCGAATAAGAAAGTTCTGCACTCAGCTTGATTTTCTTTGTCTTGCTTTCCTAGAAAATAGGGCAGTAAAAGTATTTCTGACAGCCGTTTGTGGGACTGATTGTGTGTTGCTATTGGGTGAGGCCAGCTGAACATACAAGATGACAACACAGAGAAAATTAGACAAACACGATGCTGGACTAAACTGTTTAATGGAGTGCATTTTTATTCATTTACACAGGAGCAGGTTGGCCCCAGACGGGGCCAACTGGTTCTTTTGTAAATAAAGTATGTGGATGAAGTTAGTCCGGCATTGTGTTTGTCTCATTTTCTCTCTTCCTGTTTTTGTGCTGTAGGTTCATTTGGCCCCATCGACAAGCGCTGCACCAACAAGCTCAGCTCCGGGTCGTCACAAGGTGTATTTTGTCGCGTGTTTCAATGTTGGTTTGCTTGAGCAGGAGGACTGACAACTACTAGGTACAAGTGACTCAACAACAAATTAAAGGATTTGATAGCATGTTGGTGGGAGTTAAGAAACAAACAAAAGAGAGACACTTATGACAAGAGATGCCACGGGTGTACAGTTCAACTAGCAACATCAATAAACTACCACAAGGCATTATTTTATTTTTGCTAGTTGAGAGATGTACCTGTGTTGTCTCTTGTCATAAGTGTTTGCTACTTTGTTTGTTTTTTGCAATCAATTCACTGTTTTAAGCACTTGAACAAGATTGTCATTTTCTTTTAGTTCGTAGTTATGTGGGAAATCAGGTCAGCCTTTTTGCGGCTCTATATGAACTCTCTTTCCCACTAGGATATTTCTAGTACACCCTAATTTCTTGAGGGGTTTCCAAACCTGCAAACCATTGTCACAAAGCTAAATTTCGAATTAAGCTACACTGTTATGTTTTCCACGTATTATGATCATTTGCCACCTCAAATTTAGTTTCCGGCACTCTGTATTAATTATTTTCTTGTTTTGTTTGCAGCCAGAAAAGTCGAAAACATCCCATCGACAGAAACTGTGGTTTGACTTGGGAAGATGAAAATCAGTTTGTTTCAATTTTTTTTTTTTCTGTCTAGTCCTGTTCTAGACTTTCTTCAGCCTATTTCATATTCTATTGTCATATTTTACTTTTTAAAGTGGCAATAAGGCTATTTAATGTCTCGACTTCTGTTCTAGTCTAGTGACAGGCTTTACTGTGGTTTGACTTGGGAAGATGAAAGTCTGTTTGTTTTAATTTTTTTTTTCTGTCTAGTCCTGTTCTAGAGTTTCTTCAGCCTATTTCATATTCTATTGTCATATTTTACTTTTTAAAGCGGCAATAGGCCTATTTAATGTCTCGACTTCTGTTCTAGTCTAGTGACAGGCTTTAGTCAGTCCTTTCCGGCTTTTCTTTAATACGATACCGTTTTAGTAATCAAGTTTTTCTAACTGCTTCTACACATGGCAATTGTATATAGTGCCAGCTGGACATAAAAGGATTAGAGAGAGATAAGAAAGACACACCGTTGGACTAGCAACTGTTTAATCAGATCATCTTTTTCTTCATCTACGTTGAGTTTCTCTTCTTTTTTATCTACACTGCATTTGATTTAATTGAGGAGTTCCTTTTCTTCTAGTCTTATACTCGAGCGTCTCCTCGTCTTCCATTTGTCCACCATGGGTGCGGCCCCTCTAAGATACTCACCTTCCTTGTGGTGTAGTGCGATGGAAGGTATACCCACACACTTGTCCGCTTTTGCGTCAATAGCAAAGGCCTCCAGGATTTCTCGAGTGAACTTGTGGCGGTTTCTTGCCAGGATGTTTAGGCTAGAAAAGTCTGGTACACACAGGCACATATGACAATGGGCAGGTAGGTGCTCTGCACGCTGTGGTGGCCTTCACCGAAGCTGCATGTTCTCTCGTCTAGTCACTGATGCACCTTCCCTTCTGTCCAATGTAACATTGACTACATGACATGGGATTTGGTGCACAACCTCCTTCTCACATTTGGTGTACTTGGCAGTTCATTTTCTCCTTGTTGGCCCTCTTGTTTACATGATGAAAAATTGCACACAAAGAGACAAGGGAAAAACACAGAAGTCAGAGAGGCGCATACTCGCAACTCTGGTATATTAAGTGAAGAAAGAAAAGATGAAGCACGATTCATGACGGGGGACATCAACACCAGGGGGTAAACAGTTCAGTCATAGTGAGGTGTTCGCAAAAAGGCAACTTCTTTTTCGCTCAAAGCAACCGACGGCTGACTAACGCAGAGATCGGTCAGACTCAAGATGGTGAACGCATCGAGCACCTCGCGCGTTTGTTTATCATTAAAGTGCCCAATGATTGAGATTTTTTTCTAAAGATGGTGTGCAGATAGAGGTCTTACAATGCACCAAAAGGTTGACCTCATACAGTTTATGATCGTGCTCTCGCAGCCAGTCATTCAAACACTTTCTAGTCTGTCCGACATAGCATCTTCCACAGGGAAGAGGAATGCTGTACACTACGCTCAATGAACGAGGAGTGAAAGGCTGCACATGTTTTTTGTGGCGCGTGTCTTTTTCGCTTTGGCGCAAACCTTAGAACAAATTTGTCACATCTTTTTAGAGGCTGATAATACTACGGGCACACCATACCTACTTACCACTTGTTTTAGATTATGCGATATCTTGTGTAGATACAATCTAAAACAAGTGGCAAGTAGGTGTGCTGTGCCCACAGTAATATCAGCCCCTAAAAAAATATGACAAATTTGTTTAAGGTCTGCGCCAAAGAGAACAAATTATAAAAAACACGTGCCACAAAAAACATGTGCAGCCTTTTTTTTCCTGTTCATCGAGCGTTGTATACAGCATTCCTCTTTCCTGTGGAAGATGCTATGTCGGACAGACTAGACAGTGTTCGAATGACTGGCTGCGAGAGCACAATCATAAACTGTATGAGGTCAACCTTTTGGTGCATTGTAAGACCTCTATCTGCACACCATCTTTAGAAAAAACCTCAATCATTGGGCGCTTTAATGAAAAACAAACGCGCGAGGTGCTCAGGGCGTTCACCATCTTGAGTCTGGCCGATCGCTGCGTTAGTCAGCCGTCGGTTGCATGAGCGAAAGAGAACTTGCCTTTTTGCGAATATTCCTCTGCGACTGAACTCGACCCCCTGGTGTCGATGTCCCCTGTCATGAATCGTGCTGTCTGTCTTCTGTGTTCCTTCCTCGTCTCTTTGTGTGCAACTTTCCATCATGTAAACAAAGGGACCAACAAGGAGAAGACAAACTGCAAGGTATCTCACGAGACCAAGCACACCGAATGTGAGAAGGAGGTTGTGTACCAAATCCCACTGTCATGTGGTCAATGTTACATTGGACAGACGGGAAGGTGCATCGGTGACCAGACTAGGGAACATGCAGCTTCGGTGAAGGCCACCACTGCAGCAGGGGACCTACCCGCCCATTGTCACATGTGCCGGTGTGTACCAGAGTTTTCTAGCCTAACCATCCTAGCAAGAAACCGCCACAAGTTCACTCGAGAAATCCTGGAGGCCCTTGCTATTGACGCAAAGGCAGACGAGTGTGTGTGTGTGCCTTCCATCGCACTACACAACAAGGAAGTTGAGTACCTTAGAGGGCCGCACTTATGGCGGACAGATGGAAGATGAGAAGATGCTTGGGTATAAGATTAGAAGAAGAACTCCTCAATTAAATCAAATGCAATGTAGATAAGAAAAAAAGAGGAAGTGAAACTCAATGTAGATGAAGAGAAAGATGATCTGATGAAACAGTTCCTAGTCCAGCGGTGTATGCCTTTCTTATCTCTCTCTCTAACCCTTCTTTTATGTTCAGCTGGCACTATATAGAGCAATGAGCCAACTAGCTCAGCTTCAAGCTTCACCCGCTCTAGTCACCACTTCTACTCAGTTTCAAGCTTGTTTCTGTAGTACATACAGATTTGTCTTAAGTTATTGGCTTGTCATTTTAACAGCTGAGTCTAGCAGCATCCTTACTCGTATGTATATGCTTTTGGTTTAATTTGAAACAATAAATGTTTTAGTACATGTACCTGACTGATTTCATCTTTGCAAGGGTAGTAAATTGCAATTATTTCGTCTCAATATGTGCTGTGATGAAAAGGAGCTTGTTAATTCTAGCGTTTTTGTTAATAGTGTGCAATATTGTGCCTTTCACAAACATTCTTTTCCTCAGTTAACGGACATGCTACGATCAAGCTTCTTCAAAAGGTGCATACAGTCAATTCTCTCCCGTTATGTGTATTGCGCACTGGAGTCCGGTGGTTCATCTTCTGGAAAACATTGCTATGTATGTGAAAAAGGACCTCCTCGAAGACCCAGGACGCAATATTTTGTTGCAAGTCTTAGCTTTTTCAGCCCTCAGAAAAGCCATGTCTGTAGTGAAACACTGCCTGTCGTTGGGTTTCAAGGAGGTTCCTTTCCAACACCCTTCTTTCAGCTTTGACTACCTGCAGTTTTGTTGGTATGCAAGTTTATAAAACATTAGATTCACATCAAAGAAAATGGTACTGCTACACTAGCAGAATATCCACAAAATGTTAGAAAGAACTTTTCAGTTGAAGACAAAAGTATTGTAATCAGACGCAGTTGCTACCCATGCAGTTCGCCTTGTTCACAGCAGAGGCGTAACTGCATGGGTAGCGGTTGCGTCTGATTTATAATATTTTTGTCTTCGTCAACTGAAAAGATCTTTAACATTTTGTGGATATTCTGCTAGTGTAGCAGTACCATTTTCTTTGATGTGAATTTAATGTTTTACAAACGTTGCATACCGGTTGTAAAAGTGTTTCTCGAATGTTCCTTCAATGTTAATTTAACGTTTTGCAAACATTAAATTTATGTTGAAGGAATGTTTCCTGTGTGTTCAAATAACGTATGGAAAAACATTAATCTAACGAATAGATAAACATTGTGGAAATATTAAATAAAATGACATTAAGGACATATTTCAAACATTTGGGCCAAACAAAAAAATAACATTATTATAATGTTTTGGTGCTACCTGGGCTGCACTCACGCAACATTTAAATTATGCCGCCTAGAAAACGTTGTACCTTCAACCTTTTTCCGACTTTTAGCACACGGTTTCCTAGGCAGCATGGAATTCGAAACAATAGCCTAACGCTGTGCCTTCGTCGTGCCGATCAATGTTGCATCAGAAACAGATTGGAAACAGTTAGCTACACAACGTTGCTATTTTCACGTCTGTACTACACTGATACTACGTTGCTTAAGCAACATGTCGCGCGCTGCACTCACGCAACATTTAAATTATGCCGCCTAGAAAACGTTGTACCTTCAACCTTTTTCCGACTTTTAGCACACGGTTTCCTAGGCAGCATGGAATTCGAAACAATAGCCTAACGCTGTGCCTTTGTCGTGCCGATCAATGTTGCATCAGAAACAGATTGGAAACAGTTACCTACACATCGTTGCTATTTTCACGTCTGTACTACACTGATACTACGTTGCTTAAGCAACATGTCGCGCGCTGCAGTCACGCAACATTTAAATTATGCCACCTAGAAAACGTTGTACCTTCAACCTTTTTCCGACTTTTAGCACACGGTTTCCTAGGCAGCATGGAATTCGAAAATATAGCCTAACGCTGTGCCTTCGTCGTGCCGATCAATGTTGCATCAGAAACAGATTGGAAACAGTTAGCTACACAACGTTGCGATTTTCACGTCTGTACTACACTGATACTACGTTGCTTAAGCAACATGTCGCGCGCTGCAGTCACGCAACATTTAAATTATGCCGCCTAGAAAACGTTGTACCTTCAACCTTTTTCCGACTTTTAGCACACGGTTTCCTAGGCAGCATGGAATTCGAAACAATAGCCTAACGCTGTGCCTTTGTCGTGCCGATCAATGTTGCATCAGAAACAGATTGGAAACAGTTAGCTACACAACGTTGCGATTTTCACGTCTGTACTACACTGATACTACGTTGCTTAAGCAACATGTCGCGCGCTGCAGTCACGCAACATTTAAATTATGCCACCTAGAAAACGTTGTACCTTCAACCTTTTTCCGACTTTTAGCACACGGTTTCCTAGGCAGCATGGAATTCGAAACAATAGCCTAACGCTGTGCCTTCGTCGTGCCGATCAATGTTGCATCAGAAACAGATTGGAAACAGTTAACTACACATCGTTGCTATTTTCACGTCTGTACTACACTGATATTACGTTGCTTAAGCAACATGTCGCGAGCTGCAGTCGCGCAACATTTTAATTATGCCGCCTAGAAAACGTTGTACCTTCAACCTTTTTCCGACTTTTAGCACACGGTTTCCTAGGCAGCGTGGAATTCGAAACAATAGCCTAACGCTGTGCCTTTGTCGTGCCGATCAATGTTGCATCAGAAACAGATTGGAAACAGTTAACTACACATCGTTGCTATTTTCACGTCTGTACTACACTGATACTACGTTGCTTAAGCAACATGTCGCGAGCTGCAGTCGCGCAACATTTCAATTATGCCGCCTAGAAAACGTTGTACCTTCAACCTTTTTCCGACTTTTAGCACACGGTTTCCTAGGCAGCATGGAATTCGAAACAATAGCCTAACGCTGTGCCTTTGTCGTGCCGATCAATGTTGCATCAGAAACAGATTGGAAACAGTTAACTACACATCGTTGCTATTTTCACGTCTGTACTACACTGATATTACGTTGCTTAAGCAACATGTCGCGAGCTGCAGTCGCGCAACATTTCAATTATGCCGCCTAGAAAACGTTGTACCTTCAACCTTTTTCCGACTTTTAGCACACGGTTTCCTAGGCAGCATGGAATTCGAAACAATAGCCTAACGCTGTGCCTTCGTCGTGCCGATCAATGTTGCATCCGAAACAGATTGGAAACAGTTAACTACACATCGTTGCTATTTTCACGTCTGTACTACACTGATATTACGTTGCTTAAGCAACATGTCGCGAGCTGCAGTCGCGCAACATTTCAATTATGCCGCCTAGAAAACGTTGTACCTTCAACCTTTTTCCGACTTTTAGCACACGGTTTCCTAGGCAGCATGGAATTCGAAACAATAGCCTAACGCTGTGCCTTCGTCGTGCCGATCAATGTTGCATCCGAAACAGATTGGAAACAGTTAACTACACATCGTTGCTATTTTCACGTCTGTACTACACTGATATTACGTTGCTTAAGCAACATGTCGCGAGCTGCAGTCGCGCAACATTTCAATTATGCCGCCTAGAAAACGTTGTACCTTCAACCTTTTTCCGACTTTTAGCACACGGTTTCCTAGGCAGCATGGAATTCGAAACAATAGCCTAACGCTGTGCCTTCGTCGTGCCGATCAATGTTGCATCCGAAACAGATTGGAAACAGTTAACTACACATCGTTGCTATTTTCACGTCTGTACTACACTGATATTACGTTGCTTAAGCAACATGTCGCGAGCTGCAGTCGCGCAACATTTCAATTATGCCGCCTAGAAAACGTTGTACCTTCAACCTTTTTTCGACTTTTAGCACACGGTTTCCTAGGCAGCATGGAATTCGAAACAATAGCCTAACGCTGTGCCTTCGTCGTGCCGATCAATGTTGCATCAGAAACAGATTGGAAACAGTTAGCTACACAACGTTGCGATTTTCACGTCTGTACTACACTGATACTACGTTGCTTAAGCAACATGTCGCGCGCTGCAGTCACGCAACATTTAAATTATGCCGCCTAGAAAACGTTGTACCTTCAACCTTTTTCCGACTTTTAGCACACGGTTTCCTAGGCAGCATGGAATTCGAAACAATAGCCTAACGCTGTGCCTTTGTCGTGCCGATCAATGTTGCATCAGAAACAGATTGGAAAC